AATGGGAAAGTCTTCGACGTGACCAAAGGCAGCAAGTTCTACGGTCCCGGTGAGGAATGAGGGGTGTCGGGGGGCCCGGGACACCCTATCCCCGCCGCGGCCACGCACCTGGACGGCTGCCCCGCGCATGCCCCCAACTGCGGGCGTCTGGGGCTCCAGTGGCACCCCACAAACCTCTCGGCGTTCCTTCCCTTCCCACCCCGTGTCTTTTCGCAGTTTTTCCTAGGGCTGAAATTCTCAAAATTCTTAGAGTTGACTCTAGTCACATTGGTCTCCAACCTTTCTCCTGAGCCTTCCGATTTCTGGGCTTTGTAAGGGCGAAAGGGATAAGGAGATGGCCAAAGTGGCAAACCAAAGTTTTTGGCCCTGTGTAAGTTACCGCTTTTTACGCTGAATTGTCTGACACCTACTCTTTACTTCTCTGGACTAGTCTGCATAGAGCCAAGGTTTGGGACACGTAGTTTCAAGTCCCAACCCTTGCCAGCCCTGAAAGTCGCTGTAAGAACCACGTCGGACCTATTTTCTTTCTTTTTCTAAAAAGCCCGTTGTGGCTCCAAGATACTTTCCAAGATTAACACTGTATGTGAGATGAGGACGAACCATAATGTAGATATTAATAAATAAGACTGGCAACGATATTGGCCCTGAGCGTCTGGGGTGGAGCTCATCTGCCTAGCAGGCGTGTCTGTCTCCTCTCTGTCTCTCCCTCCCTCCCTCCCTCCCTCCCTCTCTCGCGCTCTCTCTCTGCCAGTAGTATGATAAGTGTTCAAATACCCGTTGATGATGAATTATTATATTTTCCCTTAGCAGAACTGAGGGGAGGGATAGAAAAGCAAAGACTAGACGGTCCCCCTACCATGCACTGGTTGTTCAAGTTAGAGGTTTTACAACTTTGCTTTGAGAACACTATGTGGAAGGTAGTTGCTGTGGAAGCCCTTTTATAGTGTAATCTGCTTCAGATTACACAAATAAACTCCAAACTCGGGGAATATGTTGAAAGTCCATAAAATTAAGCAACTGTGTGTCCTGCTTTTTCAGTGATTAAGCTTTGGGGGTTAAGCTTTTTTTGGGGGGGGGGAGCAGTTACAATAAGAATAAAGTGAGACCAGAAGTGACCCTATCCTGGAAGGACTACAACCAACTTTTAAACAGGGTTTCCTTTTAATTTTGTTAGTGCGTGTGATTTATTGACACTGAACATGCTTCTTATTTCAGTGCTTAGCTGGACGCTATTTTAGAAGTGTTTGGGTTTGTGTGGATTAGAGGTAAGAAATTGGAGTGTTTGGTTTTGGATCTGTTTTTTAGCTTATGTTTCATTATGCACACACACACACACACACACACATTCTGGATGTACAAACAAATACCACATGTCCCCTTGCTTACATCAACTTCAATGGTTAATACATTTTACTTAAGAGCATGTTGAACAAGAGACTAAGACCAAAGTATATTATTTACACAGACCAAGTCAAATAAACTTTTTAAAGTCAAGAATTTACACAGATTTTATACCTAGTTACAGCCTTTACCCCAGTGGCATTAAAAAATGTGTTCAGTGGTTAAAGATTGTCTAGAGTATTTGTAAAAAGAACCATTATTAGTCCTCACACATTAGGAAAGAGTCAGTTTGGGCAGCTTCCAGGGGCAAATGTGTGGCAGAAGTTCAAAACTAAGAGTAAGAGGTATGTGGTTTGGGTCTCTGTGGCTTGAGCTCTGAAGACATTCTTGAGATGATAATGAAGAACCACCCTAGGTGTGGTAGTACATTTAACCCTGCACCCTGGAGGCAGAGGCAGGTGGGTCTCTGCGTTCCAGGCCAATTGGGATCAAATGGTGAGACCACTTCCTTGTTTTGGTGCATAATTATTTTATTACAGGTATCAATAAACAAACATAGGAATATCCGAAAGATTTTATTATTGAAAAAACTTAAATGTAGCCAGAGCATCTTTGGACCTTACAATCTGTTGATTTTTCCCCCCTTGGATGGACACTTTGAAGTACTTTCCAAGAGTCTTGATGCCATTTTCATTTTATTCTTACTAGTTCAGCACTCCTTAGCTAGAATCTCAGTAATTTGAAAAACTCAGCCTAGAACTGGAAAGCTTATTTTCTATACCCAAACTGCTTTCAATTCCCATTTTGCAGTGATGTTTAGGATTAAAGATTGTTCTGTGAGGGTTTTTCCCCCTGTAATGCTAGACACATTCTCTTTAGCTGTGCATCTTTAAAGTCCCGCTTCTTGAAAATACAATTAAATAGCAATACTTTAAATGTGGTTCACTGCCAACTATTTGCCAGAATGTGTTGACTTTGTTATCAGTATTATATTTAGTAATAATATAATACAGTCACTTGGCTAGCTTGGACAGAAAGTGTGATCATGAAGTAAACAGAAATTCCTTATCATCTACTGTATTGGATCAACCATTTGTCATTTTTGCAGATCTTTAATGAAGTTGCAAAGTATCTGCCTTAGTGATAAGTCTGAGGTTTAAGTAAGCTGGCTTGGATGGCATAGATAAATCTGAAAACTCTAGGTATGTTTGACCACAAAAGTTTTGTACACTGGTAAACAGCTTCTGGAAGAAACTTAAAGAGAATCCTATTACTGCTTTTTCTTTATACCCTTTCCTGGTTCCTTCCTATACAGGTTTTGAACTTTGAACATATTTTCATTTTCATGGTGTGTATGTTGTTCCTGCTGCCCACTATGGTAGCCCAAGCCACAAATGGCTAATTAAAATATATTTTAAAGTGAGTTATTTGGTAACAAGTAGGCACGTTCCTCAGCCACATGGCTACCACACTAAACCTGGTTCTTCATGGAGTGCTGTGCTGCTTCCCCAGGAGTTCCTAGTGACCATTTCCTGAGCATGTTTCATTGTTTTGTTTGTTTGTTTTTTGTTTTAATGTCTCTACAAGATACTTGTATTCTCGTTTTGCATTTGTGAAAACTGAAACTTAGGGATTTTCCCCCAAAGAACCTACCTACTAAGTAGCCACAATAAAAATCAAACCCAAGTCCAGCTTGATTCACAGGTCATAATCTTCTCATTGTCACGTTATCAATTCCTGCTTACATTCAGAATAGGTTTTGAATATATTAATAGTATACTCTTAAATATTTATGTTATAGCAGGAATATAATTTAGAATGGCAAAAAAGCATATACTTGGACTATTTGATATTTTTTTCCCTTACTCATTTGTCAATATATGCCAAAGCTATAGCCAACTTACCTTATAAATTCTACTGAAAAGGAAAAGGCCACGTAAGTAGCCCTTGGGGCTGCCTAATAGGAAGTTGGGAAAAGGTACCCATGAACCTAAATCCTTCCCCCTTTTAATCTTGTCTTCAATATGTTAATTTTATTTAACAATTTAATTTACAAAACTGTGGTTTAAGCAAGAGTTGCAACATAAAGACCAAACCCAGCCTGACCTACTCCTGCATGGATATCTCAGAGTTGTCACAATCCATCTGTCATCACAATTTCTTGCTTTGAAGCCAACTAGGTTTGTTTGGGCTAGTTACTGCATGCATCTTGTTAGCTACCAGTAAGATAAAGGACCAGCTAAAATTTCTGAAGTAGCTATGCATTGTAATGCTTACTTGTAATGCCAACACTCTTGAGGCAGAGGAAGAAGGATGGCCTTTAGTTAGAGGATAACCAGACTACATAGTTGAGCTTCTAGATGACTGTCTGTGAGTTCCTGTCTTAAAGAAAGCGAAGTTCAGAAGAGTTTTATATTGTGCTTATCATTTCTGTAGTATGGTTACCTCTTATGAATTCTGCATCATTGCGTTGTTTTTAGTGTTTTAGGGAACTGAATTATGTTAAGTACTACCGCAAATTAAAATAACAAAATTGAGACCAGAAAATGCTTACTGAGATTAGAAGGAATAGAATTAGTCACATGTGCTTTTCAAGGTCCTTTGGGCAATCTGGCATAGGCCATTCCTCCCCATATACCTGTGGCATATATCACTATATAATTCTTGGTGCCTGTATCCTTTCTCAAGGTCTTTAATAAAAGACTTCATCTCTTTGATTTTTCAAGACAGGATTTCCCTGTGTTACAGCTCTGGCTGTCGCAGAACTAGCTCTGTAGACCAGGCTGGCCTTGAACTCACAGAGATCCACCTGCCTCTGTCTCCGCCTCCGCCTCTGTCTCTGCCTCCCGAGTGCTGGGACTAAAGACATGTGCCACCACCACCCAACTAAAGGTGTTTTGTTTGTTTTGATTTTTGAGACAGGGTTTCTCTGTAACAGCTTTGGCTGTCCTGGAACTCCTTTTGTAGATCAGGCTGGCCTCGAATTCAGAGATCCACCTGCCTCTGCCTCCCGAGTGCTCCACAACCCGACTCCATTTTTAAATGCTAAGAAGGATCACTGTAGCTTTCATAGCTGTAAAACTTTAAATAAGTCAATTTCAGAAGTAGAATTAGTCTTTGGCACAGACCAATCCATATCTATGGATCTGACGTCGCTGTGGACAGGCAGGATACAAACACATTTCAGTAGGTAATTATGCTCTTTTAGAAAAGGATGAAATTAGGGTTATGATCAAGGGTTATTTCTCTGTTAGATCATCTCCATTGATAGTCCAGGTTTGGTTTCAACCTTTGGTTGCTTGTACATAGCTAGATGTTATTAACTCATCTCTTGAAACCAACTTGTACTGTTTTGTTCTTATAAGAAAGGAAAAAAAAATATATATATATATATTGGAGGCAGAGGCAGAATTCTGTGAGTTTGAAGCTAGCCTGGTCTTAAGTTCTAGGACAACCAAGGTTACATAGAGAAACCCTGTCTTGAAAAACCAAAACATATAACTAGATTTGAACTCACTAGCATTTTATGTTCTCATAGCTCAATCCGGTTACATTTTTGTCAGTGGTGTTGTGTTTTTGTTTCCACCATTTTATTTAACAGTCTTTGGCCACACCTTTGTGACTGACAGTGCTCTGAATGCAGTTCAGCTCAGAAAAAAACTCTACTTTAGGTCTTCGCTCACTAGTTCTTCTTAGAGTTTATCCTTC